GTAGCTGATACACCAATGAAGTCAGCCTTGGACTACGTCTTCAAAGGCGCTGAGATGGCGTTAAACCGGGCGGTTTTGTTGGAACAGGAAGTTCGAGAACTCCGCTGGGCAAATGAGAGGTTAAACACCAAGAAACGACGAAGAAATAAGCAGCTTACAGGCCTTAACGGCTTCACTGTTAACGAAGCAAGGGAGGCATTCCAACGCGAGTATAAAAAAAATAAAGCCCTTCAGATTAAGGATCAGAATCAGCCTCGCCGCCGGGCACCTCCCAGATGCAGCGAGTGCGGTGTTCAAGGACATATACGTACGAGGTGTCCAAATCGAAGAACTGTGTAAAAAGACATTCAAAATGGTGTAATTGAGGCTTCAAAACACCATATATTTATATACAAATCAAAAATCCATGTTGGTGCTGCATTTGGTGGATCTGCTGGCTCGCTCGCTTGCGTGGCTCGCTCGGTTGACGATTACGTTACTTAGCGTTGATTAGTAAGCAGCTATGTGCCATGCGAACTTATATATTACTGTTTTTTTACTTTAAATTTTATTTTTTTATGAAATTCTATTATATCTAATTTATTAAGTACTTTTTAAGCGCTTTTTAAGTATTATATAGAATTATTATAGATTCTAATGATATTATTAGTATCAGTTCTGCAGAAGAACTAAATACTTTAGAAATAAGTTTATTAGTATAATTAAAGTATTTAATAAGTACTTAGTAATTAATATAATTTAGAAACTGTTATCGAAAATAATCTTAATATAAGCGAAAACCTCTTTTTTAATTATTTAATATATTAAGTATATTAATAATCTTTCAGAATATCCAGTTATTTATTCTAATAAATATACCTATATAATTATATTAAAAAGTTATTCTGAAGTTGAAGCCAAGCAGCTAGTTAAAAATATATAAAAATAAACTGTTTATTAACTATTTTTAAACTGCTTACTAACTACTTAATAGATTTAATATAATAAATATCTGAATAATAATTTAAAGTGAGCAGTTTTTTCTTCTTTTCTTTAATATCAGATTTAAAAGATTTTTTAAAAATATTCTGAAATTCTTCGCTGTTAATATCTTAATCAATCTCTTCTAAATTATTATTATACTACTGTTAGTGAAGACTTTTAGAAGATATTTAATAATTTAAAAAAAGTATTTTTATAGCAGATATATTAAAATCAAAATAAAATACTTTTAAATAAGTACTTATTAAGTATTTAATAAGTACTTGCTAATTAGTTATTAGTTTTTATAAAGTAAAAAAAGTTTTTAAAATAAAATTTAATTCTGCTTTAAAAAATCTTCCAGACTGCAAACCAGTCTTTAAATACTATACTATTCCGATATTTATATAATTAAAAGTATTTTTTAAACAGTTGCTAACTGTCTTCTAACTACTTTAAAACTTATATAGAAACTATATTTTATATATTAGCTGTATTAACTATATCGAAGACTTTTTTAATAAATATTTTTAATAAGATATTAAAAATTATATTATTTTTAATTTAGATTTTTTTTAAGAAGCTGTTTAATTAAAACTTTGTTTCAGAAACTAAAAAGTATAATATATTTAAATCTATATTATCCTGCTGAAAATATTATAATAAATATTTAATACATATTTCGGAGCTGCTTGCTAACTATTTTTAAATAAATAATATTCTTAAAATTTAAAGTATTTAATTTATACTTTTTATAGTATGGCTTTTTATACTTTAATTTTTTTAGATCTTATTTTATATTCTTATCTTTTTTTTATTTTTTAAAATATTTATATCCATCCTCCACCTCCGTTAAATAAGCCGTTAGAGAAGATTTTTTTAAAATATTAAAAATCTAATTTAGTAGATTTATAATCTAAATATAACTATAAATATATAGTATTTAAATAATTGCTAACTGCTTGCTAAATACTTACTAACTATTTTAATAATTTAATTTTTTCAAAACCTGCAGTTTAAATAATTCTGTTATTAATATAATACTTCTATACTTACTGAAATCTATACTAGTTTTTATAATAAAAATAAAATTAGTATAATTATTTAAAAGCAGCAGCTATTACTAAATCTAAATAAATAGAATATTAATAGTCTGGTTTTTTTATTAAATATTAATTTATATATTTAAATAAGTATTTATTAACTATTTTACAACTGCTTCCAAAGCAGTCGGAAATATACTAATAATTAATCTAATTCTATATATAGAAGAAATATTATAATATTAATAAAACTATAATCTTTTATATTTATAAAAAGCAGCTTTAACTTCTTACTTAATTTAATTTAACTAAGATTGATATATTATATAAACGACTACAGTTAAATAAAATAAATAAAATTCTTTTTACTATTATAATTTCTAATTATATTAAAAATAAATACTTTAAAACTATTTAAAAAGTATTTACTAAATACTTACTTTAATTATAACTCTTCTTTATATATTTACTTCTAAGAAAACTACTGAGAGATTTTATTTATTCTTTAAATATATTTTTAAACTTATTAAAAAAATAATTCAAATTCTAGTTCTTTTTTATATTATATATAGCAGTAGTTTTAAAAATATAATTTTTAATATAAATCTAAAACAGTATATTAATAAGTTCAGTTTAAACTGCTTGCCAACTGTTTATAAACCGTTTTTAAACTACTTAAATTTAAAAAAATATTTTATAGAAGTGGACCCTTAATATCGGGATTCTAAATAACAACTTAAATATTTTATTGTTTTTTATTATATTTATTTTAAACGGAATATTTTAAAAGTTCTTAGTATTTATAAAAAGAAAGATTGCCTATAGTTTTAAATAATAGATCTTTTAGATTATTTAATAGAAGAGAAGTATAATAAAATTTTAAACTATTTAATAAATATTTTTTATTCAATCCGCAACTGCTTTAAAAATACTTGCTAACTATTTTATAAAATTTAAGATTAAATAAATAGTAGATTAGATTAATTATAAAAGAAGTATAATAATTAAAGCAGGCTTAATTAAGTCCTGCTCTGATATTTCTTTAATTTTTTTAATAAATTAAAAAAATATATAAATACAGTTGAGCAGTTTTATAATAAGTTCTATATATTTAAAAAGCAACTAAATTTTATAAAAATAGTAAAAAAGTATATTTATATAAATACTTTTTAAGTATTTATAAAGCGCTTATTAAGCACTTTTCGAAATACTTTTTAATAGCTGTATAAATATTAATTTTTAATTTATTATTTTTAGTTCTGTTAAGCATAATAAGAAGAATATTAAATAGTTTAAAAATTATATTAGATTTAATATTTATTATAACTACCGGACTTTTAATATAGAGATAAATTATTAATATTAGCTAATAATTAATTTTAGTAAGTACTTTCTAACTGCTTCGCAACTGCTTTTAACTAATAATATTTTTAAAAAAGTATAAAAGATGTCGTTCTACAGACTTTTATTAAAGTATTATTAGATCTACTTTTTCTATATCTTTAATTTTAATTTTTAAAAGAAATATAGCTAAATCTATTTTCCGGATACCTTTTCTAGCTGATAATAACCGGTAAAATATTCTTTATATTTTAAATAATTTTTAAATATTTTCTAACTATTTTAAATTAATTATATCTTTACAGAGAGATCTTCGCCAGACTGCTTCTTCTAATATTTTAAACTTAGAATAAAGACGTTAGGAATTTGAAATTGAAAAATTTTAAGCTAATATTAAAAAGCAGAAAACTGAAACTGAAAGATAAAAAACTAAGACTGAAAAATAAAAAAAATATATATATATAAAGATTTTATAGAATAAAAAATAGAAGCTTAATTTTTTAGAACGACGCCAGTATATAAATCAGAAAGATCTAAGCAGTTACTAAACAGTTAAAAAGTATTTAAAAATTATTTAAAAATATAAAGAATATTTTTAAAATATTATAAATCTGCAGCTAGTTTTAGAAATAAGCTTAAATATAATCTATTTACTGTATAAAGAAAAGAAGGAATAGTAAAAAGGTCTTTTATTTTTTTAACTGTTTAGAGTATAGATAGTTAAAGTATATATATATATATTACTTAATATTTAGATACATAGCAGGCCGAGGGTGTTAGTAGCCTGAGGTTGCAAGCGGGTTGCGCACAGTTATAGTTAGTTATATACTAATTATAACTAATAATTATTCTTTATACTAATAAAAATATAGTATAATAGTTTAAAACTATTTTAACTTCTTTCTATCTTAACTAGAGCTTATATATTATATAATTAGTATAGATTTAAGCTTATTACTTAATAGTTCTAAAACTAAGAAGTTTCTATAACTATTCTATATTTATTACTATTTATTTAATTTTATAAAATAATAAAATAGTAGTATTAACTTCTTAATTATTTATTTTTCTTTTTATTTTTTAATAATATTTACTATTTATTTTTCTTTCTATCTTTCTAATAATACTTTATATTTTTTCTTCTTTTTTATTTTTTTTTTTTTTACTTTTTTTTTTCTTTTTTCTTCTTTCTTTTTTAATCTTCTACCATCTACTACTTACTATTTATTAATTATTTTTTTATTCTTATTTCTATTATTTTTATTTTATTTTTTATCTCTTTTTATATTATATAGAGTTAAAACTGTTTTATATTTTATTATATCTAATCAGTAAGTTCTCCTAATTTTAAAAATAAAAATAAATTAAAATCTGATAATTTTAAATCTGATTTAACTGAAAGCTGATATATTTAAATATATAAATATTAAAAATAATTTTTAAAGTAAGATTTTGAATCGTATTAATTATTTATAAATATTTTATAATTAATATTAAAACAGATAATAATAGAAAAAATATAAAAAAGATATTTCTTATTAATAATTATATATTATTAGAATTAAAGATAGAAAGAAAAAACCTATAGTATATATTAAAATTTAGAAAATAAAAAGATTTTAAATTATAATTATAGTCTGATTTTATTGCTCTGTACTAATATAAGCTTTAAAATAATTATTTAAAATATTATATTAAAAATTAAAAATATAAAATAAATCTGAAAACAGTATAAAAATATCTTATTATTAAAAAAGCCGGTGGATAGTATAAATATAATAAATTATTAAATATTAATATATTAGATTAAATAATAACAGACTATTTTACTAAATAGCTGTATTAAATAAAGAAAGAAAATCTTAAATTAAATAAAAAAATCTTTTTTTAAAAAACTATTTTTATAAAAATATAAATAAGATTTTTTAAAAAGTTAAAAATATTATTTAATAAATATATATATTAAATATCTTCTAAAAAAATTAAAGGCAGCAGCTGTATTTAGAACTAAAAAATT